GCGGTCATTATTACCGTGGCTACGACTTTAGTTATCCGTGGAAATCCACAGGTACGTCCTTATATCAATCTTACCTGTCACTTTATGACGTGTTAAGGGAGATTCTAGCTATATCGTCACATCTGAGTGACGGCATAGGGCCCAGGTGACAGCAGAGACCGAGTCAGGTATAAAAGTTTTGCCCTGTCCTAAATCTGCAGTCATTTGAATTCTGTAACGACCACTAAAAGGACTACACCATGTTGTTTCGGGATGGAAATACGTTTTGTGTTATATTATCATTAAGTATATGTTTTGCATTGGTGCATTCGCAAGGAACTACTACGGGACAGCAAAATGCAGTGGCATTTCCATCCCAAACAATGTTTCTAGGTCAGGAAACTGGCGCTAATTCCGGACAAACTAGTAATTCCAATGGACTTCAAACCCCTAATGCCTTTACTGCATTCACTGGAACGCCTTTCGCGACTGTTCCCGAACAGGCCAATCAATCTCAGTTTGGACTCGCATCATTTACAGGACAAGCAGCTACCACAACAAACGGACAGATGACAAACTCCATGTTTCCAAGCACAACGACGGGTACAAATGGTACTCCCGGATTCACTGGGCAAGTTCCCGGAATGAATGGATTTCCACAACCACCCCAGACAATGAACAGCGTGTTTCCAACACAGAACGGTATCCAACCATTCCCCGGTCAGCAGAACAGACCAACTGGTTTCCCAGGGCAACCGGGAGTGCAGACAATGTTCCCTCAGACGTCAGGACAGCCAACACCAGGACAAGGAATTCCAATGTTTGCAGGACAACCAGGTGCGCAAACTGGGTTCCCAGGGCAACCAGGCGTACAACCCGGATTTCCAGGGCAACCGCGTCCATCCGTCTTTCCGACAACCGTGTTTCCAGGACAAGCTCAGCCATTTACACCCCAGAACACAGCTGTTTTTCCTGGACAAATAGGTGTTCCTGTTCAAGCCGGATCCACTGATCCACAGGGAGGAGGCCAGACAGGAAATACAATCAGTGGAACTAATCAAGTTACTACCCCAACTACCGGGGGACAACAACAGCCAGGAATTATCACCGGTCAAGGTCAAACTTTTATCAATGGACAGACCGGACAACAGCCTGGACAACAACCAGGACAACCAATGATCCCTGGCGGTCAGTTTGGACCTCAAGCTGGACAATTTGGACAACAAACTGGCCAATTCGGACAACAAACCGGACAGTTTGGACCACAAACTGGACCCCAGAACGGACAGTTTGGACCACAAACCGGACCCCAGAACGGACAGTTCGGACCACAAACTGGACCCCAGAATGGACAATTCGGACCTAATGGACAATTTAGACCAACTGGACAATTTGGTCCGAATGGTCAGTTTGGTCCCCAAAATGGACAGTTTGGCCCGAATCCATTCAACCCCTTCGGACAGAGACAAGGCCAGTGTCATTTGACGTAAGTATTTTACTATGCTTATCCATGTTACCCATCATCCCAAAATGTTCCAATCATAACATGTCCATAATGTTTAAAGCAAGCAGGGGTAGTTCAGGTAACTAAAAAGTGATAAGACGGTAACAAATAGCTCATCAGCCAGTTGTTGCAATCTTCATAAGCTTAATGGCTCATCAAGGTAATTTTTAAACCGTAATCTTTGTCAGATTTTCTGAATTAGTGAAATTCGAAGTATTCATGTTCTGGGATAAAAGATAATCAACACCCTTAGATAATAGAAACACAAACAAATAAATAAGCAATCAATTTGAGAGAGAAAAACCCCAGAAAATTCATTTGAAAATCCTAACGCATCATCAGCTTAATGATCTGGTCGTGACACTGAAGGATCCAGGGTCTCGTGCCTGAACACTGACATACATTGGCTGTGGAGAAATAGCGCGTAGTGTTTGTTAAAAGTCGTATAAAAATAAAATTGAACACATACGAAAGATGAAATTAAAAGATGCCCTAGAAAAAGCACCAAACATTTCTAAAAAACACCGTTGCGCTGACCGATCGAGTTTATCGTTTAAAATCAAAATTGTTACATAATTCGTCATTTCATAGGCTGCATTTCCCATTTCTGCATTGTCTAAAATCAATGATTAAATGGTTTGTTTATTATTACAAGAGTTATTGCTTTGTCTTCAAAGTTTTTAAAGATATGATCATTTTGACAGACTGCTTTCTATAAGGGTGGTTATTCATGTACCTATCGAAATATGCTCATGGTTAGATTTCTTTTAAACCGATTGCACCGAAATATAAAGGTTATCTGATATTTGTAAAAACATATTCAAAACTATTTTGGTTTGCTTGCAATTTCAGCGGTTGTCCCGTTGGTTCACAATGTGTTTTCGCCCCAACTGGTGCCCACATGTGCCCGACTTGGATCCCAATACTGCCTTGTGGATGTCGCCAGGGATGTCAGGCACAAAATCTATTTATTCCCCTGGGACAGTCCCGCCAAATCGACAGGTGTGGAAACACGTGTACCTGTAATAGCCCGGATGGAACGGTAAGTTGCAACTTCAATAGATGTGAAAGCATAAATTGAATACACTTTTTTATTCTCTGTCGCAACAATAATCATGATTTTACACCTAGACAGACCGACCTTGTACTAACAAATATACGTGCTGATGACCATAAAACCTACGTCTATAGCATCGTTACATAAGCGTTAACCATATTTTATGTTTCCTGATAGATCATGACATCTTAGTACTCAGGTAGTGGATGGTCAGCAGAAATATGACTCCCGGCAACTAGCCGAGTTTCGTGTGTTAACTTACGCCTTCCGGGCATGCGCGATACTTATACCGTTCATGTCTTCCTGTTGTAGGCTGCGTGTACGATGATGGCATGTCCTTCTCCACAACAACAACAACAGCAACAACAACAAGGTCAACAAGGTCAACAAGGTCAACAAGGACAGCAACAGCAACAACAACAGCAACAACAGCAACAGCAACAACAAGGAAAGTAGGTCAACACTTGATGACGTCAGTATTTCTCGAGTCACCTAAGACAAGACCTTCAGCCACAGAGAACCAAATGCCAACGACGTAACTAATACCCAACAAACGATAACCAGCCTTCATATGTGGTGATGTGCACTTATTTTCGACAAAAAGAAAGAGAACAATTCCCGGGTCAAAGGTCGATGAACCAAAAGTATTGACGCTCGAATTTGATAATAAAATCCGGCTGTAGAATTGTCCTCTTTCTACTGATTTACAACCTAATAGTTGTGCTTGTAAATCAATTAAAAAAAGTCCCAAAGATTAGTCCAATTACAAGTGTAAGTCTAAGAAAAATCTTGCGTACGAAAAACCTGTGTCAATGCATTCAAGCAATTAGAGAGTTCCGAACGGACTGGAGGACATTGACAGTCGAACCCTTATTGTATCCTATGGATAAACATGTAATTGGGTTCATTTTCGGTAAATTGGACCAGAGAGCTTTTAGGTTCAGATTTGACTGTAATGCAAGAGTTTTGAATGAGAGAAAGTATGAAGGGAAAAGTGCGGAAGTGATAATAAAACAGTAGCAAGAATGACGATATGTAGAGATTGAATGGTGTTTGAATGTGTGTGTTTTTTATAAAAAAAAAAAAAATATGCATATTTTTTATGTATGTACCATAAAGTCACAAAAATATGTGTTTTTAAAAAGTGAATAAATTGTTAAGTTATTCATCTTCTTGTTCTATTTTTGTTTTTAGCCTGCTCATAGGAAAATGTTAAGCTGTATGTTGGAAGCTTAAGAATACAATCGCAAAAAAACCCACCAATATTAAGGAACATATCTTGATGACTACAAGCACGGAATTAGAGTAACCTCAGTCTGCGGTACAAGCAATTATTGGAGTCACATTTATTGGAGTCACATTTATTGGAGTCACTTTTACTTAAGTGTCACATTTATTGGAGTCACGTTTATTGGAGTGTCACATTTA